CAGCAGCGGCGCGTGGAACAATGAGGGAGGGAGGGAGGGGAGGGGAGTGGATTGTAACCAACGGTGAACACGACAATGGCACCTCGTAAATTGTGTTTTTATGAACTCGCCATCGTGCTACCGTATGATTGTTTAATAGACTCGTCAACACCGCTATTCCCAAAGCAATTCGACGTTTGTACAAACCTTATTGTATAAAGAACAATGTTGTGCTAAGTTGGGAAAAAAATCAATGCATTATTTGTATTGTATGTTTAAAATAATAATAATTATAATAACTAAGCCAATATACTGCTGTAAAGCGTCGCCTTGCCGTGTTTGGTCATAGGTGGTTGCTTGACCATGACCTCATCACGTTGGTTTCTTGTAGATTGAAGGGTTTGCCCAAGATCCGTTCAGGTATCACTCACCGCTGACGTTAGCCATGACGGGGAATTGAACTCAGGTCGCCACGTTCATAAAACAGTGTGCAGACCGTCAATTTCCCGTCCACGCCCGGTTCTGCTATGTGACACAATCACACTCGGACCAAGCATTAACATTGCTGATTAAACATTGCGTGGACGTCTGTGAGCAATTGCCAATGATTTTAATAAGAACCATAGACATCACAAAAAACAATAACTCTTTTTACGATATTGGTAACAAGAAAATCTGTATGTTGAACTTATTTTGCTTGGGAAGGACAATAAACTAAACACAAAAAGCAGTTATAAAGAAATGAGGTTAAATCTAGATTTAAAATCGCACAGCTCCAGTGGCTTCCTAATATCGGAAAGAAGAACGTTCCAGACGGCCGGAAGAAGTGCATCTGAAAGCTCGCGATGCGGTGGCTGTCTTTGTTCGATAGCTGGCCAAAAGCCACTGCGAGGATGGCCGGGGTTCGCGTGATGGTTTATGTTTTATTCGGTCTCCTAATAGAGACTTTAAAATGCCACTGATGTCCTCATTCGCCACCTTACTAAGTAAAGCACTATGTGCGGAATATCAGGCAAATGTCAAACTTCCTCCTCGATATGTCATCCAGTTTAGCACCATCTTTGTGTGACCAACCCCATGTCCTAGTCTCTTCTTATTTAATTTAAACTACAACATTTTATATTTTATTTTACCAGCTATTTTTCAGAAGCGACCTGGCCACAAATGATAGCTCAATGAAGTGGCTTATGACGTGGATATTTATAGCAGCCACATACTCTAAAACGCACGCTTATACATGTGGAGGGGAAAAATCAGAGGACCCGGAAAAAAACACACGCGACCACGGGGAGAGACACGCCAATTTCAAATATACAGGCTTCAGGGTTGGGATTGAACCCACGACCTCCTGTATACTAGGCGAGGTAGTTAACATCTCGCCACAGTGGAGGCCATTCAAAAGAGTTCACTCACACGAGGCACAGCTTGGCACAGCAACGTGCCTATTATTGTCATTCTTTGTTAGTGAAACAAGTGATAAAATGGTTGTATGTTCAACTTCTTTTGCACCATGCTAATCGGCGGTGTGATTATAATAAAAAAAATCGTAATAATTATTTTATATTAAAACAAATTACAGCCCTTTGTCAATCCACTCCTGGATAAAATATTCCTCGAGTAGGTAATTGGGATTGTTTGACCATACTTCACCACCCTGGGTCAGTAGGGGCCAGGGAGGCAGGACTGGTTAAAACATCGCTTACGTTATCTACTGGCCAGGACTCTAACTCGGGCTCACATACGGTCGTGGGGCAGTAAGCTAACCACTGCACCACCGCTCTTCCACCCTTGACCCCCCCCCCCCCACCGATCCTAAGTGAATAACGTTTGAAACATTTATTTTGATTCTCGTCGTAGTGCGTTTCAGCCGAACGTTGAAACTTTAACTTAATTTGCTTTTATCAAGAACATTCACTTTGAAACTTCTCGTTTTTTTCCCCTCCGATGCACGCCGCTCTTACCCCAATCCGAACGGCTCACCCCATGTGGATCTTGTCAGATGCTCGCTGCTCGGCTTGATGGCAGGGGCTGAGAAGTCTGCAAAGATGGACCGCCGACTTTGCTCATAGCGGGGGGGGGGGGGGGATCGTGAATTGATGGGGGGGGGGGTATAGATCTGCGTCTTTCTCACTTGTCACGTTAATTGTTCCATGGGTTTTTTTTTTTTCCCCGGCTCGCAAAGACCTGCACTTTCCCGCACGCTGTGCGTCTCTCTGGCACAGGCAGCACCCCCGTCGCGCCACGTCTCGTCCCCCCCGCCCGCCCCCGGCGTGTCAGCCGGAGATCTTAATCTGTTCGTTGTCGTCTTGAGGCCCCGACGATCCCTGACACCGCCGGGCTGGATGGGGACCTAGCGGGAGGGCCACGTAGCAGCAGCAGCAGCCAAAAAGTAAAAGAAAAACCTCGTCCCAGCCAGCGATCAACAGTCGGCCGCTCTCGCCAGCGCGCCCATCAATATTTCACCGAGCGGGAGAGAAACGAGGGCTTTCTATTTTTTAGTCGTCTCGTCAATTTGCTTCTTTTTTTTCCACATTACCTGTTCACGTAAGTTGTGCTCCGAGTGGGGGGAGAGAGGAATCTAGAGCAGGGCCGTGGATTTGTAACAAAAGTAGTGCGTTTCCAACAATCAGCGGCTTAATTGAAGTTAAATGGACGCAGCACTTTAAGATATTTGCATAATTGGCTTCGTTGAAATGGAATAAATATTTGTAATTTCCAATTTACCCTCTGAGATTGCTGTAACAAGCCGTTAATTCCACAGAGTTGTCTCTCTGGCCAGTCACCTATGCCGCAAACGACTGTGTGCGTGGATGTTAATTTTCCGATGAATCTGCTGCAAGTGTTTATTGGGTTATGCGATGCACGAGTAAAAACACGTTCAAAATCAGGCCGTCCAGTAGGAGGTTGCAGTTGAAAGGGAGACGGAATGATTCCGTCTGCCAACCTCTGACAAATGACTCCCCTGGTCCTTCTTTGGGCCATTGGGCCAACAATGATTCGTTGCTCCGACAATCGCGTGGCAAACGCTAACAGTGACTTTTCTTTCAACGTTTCACTTCTAGGTCACGTATATTTATGATGGCCAAGAGTCACCGTGGCAGCTGCTTATGAGAGGAATGTCATTTAAAGGAAGGCATTATCATTTAAAGGAGGGCATTATCGTTTTGAACAACAACAACAAAACCAGTGTCGTATGAAATGTCTACGGAATATGAGACGAGATATGATGTGTGTCTATTAAACGCGAAGCCTACTGAGCGTTTTGGAGGTGAGCATTACCCATGGTGAGTTGGGGCGCTACGGTGGTGACGTTATCTCCCTCACCTAGTATACAAAAGGTCGTGGGTTCGATCACAATCCTGATGCCTGCATATTTGGAGTTTGCGTGTCTCTCTCCCCGTGGTCGTATGAATTTTTTTTCCGGGTCCTCCGTTTTTTTTTACCTTCACATTTAGAATCAACATCACGCCTTTTAGAGTATTTGGTTGCTATAAATGTCCACTTGATGATAAGCCAATTCATTGCACTATCATTTGTGGCCAGGTCTCTTCTGAAAAGAGCTACATAGCTCAGTGGGCCTTTCCAGGTAAAACAAATATAAAATAGTTTTAGTTGAGTAACATTTTCCACCCCACCTGGCACCGGCAACCCCCGTCGGCTTCACGGTTTATCTGCTTCTCTCGTCCGTATTTTCCGCTTGCCCAAACCGCTTCGTACGTTTCCGTATAAACGTTTTGCTTGATGTCTTTTGTTTTAATAATTCAACATTATTTCCCGGTGAGACTTAAAAGCTTCCTTCTCCCTCCCATCCCCCTCCCCTCCCCCAAGAGAAACCACGTGTCAAACTTTATAACGGCATCAAAACCCAAAGAAAAAATTAAATACGCAACACAATATAATGAAGATGATCGCACACGTGTGGAATGAGGCAAAGACTGAGCGGTGCGATTCCCAGCGAGTGATATTCCCAAAGGGGTGCATTCAACGCGGCCATGGGCAGGCATCTGAGAAATGTAAAAAAATAATGTAACGGATATGTTTGTGAAATTGACAGCCATGTTGCATTTATGAATCCACACCATTTTGATTCACATCACGACAATTCTGAGCGTCGTTGTGGAGAATAATCAGAAGACTACCTCTCGATCCCATCTGTCCCTTTACGCAAATATATATATACAATTATTATTTTACACATTTCATCAGCACAAGCAAAACTCTGGGCAAATGTTTATAGTTAGTATCTATAACAAATATAGGTTGAGGCTGGTGATTTGTGCTTCTTGCACCCATTAACCTGCTCAACACAGACAGTGACTCCCTCTGTTTATGGTATGAATCATTATTGAGAATTCCTGGTAACAGGGCACCCCCATTCTGCTCTGCTGCCCCAATGTTCGGGAACTGCCTTCCCATAACCACCCATGCTCTCGACTCCCTGCCCCCCTCCCCCTGTTCAAGTTCAGGCACAAGACCTTGCCCTTTATTGGTCCATCTATAACTGGCTGCCACTCTCTCTGTCTACAAAATAAGAGCCCACTGTTTCTGTAAAGCATCTTAAGATGGGGTCATATTTATATGCTATATAAATCCACGTATTGTGCACAAGTGTTCGGAGACGTTTCTGAGAATAAGCACAATTTGAAGACGTGATTATTATGACTGTTTTTAAAAGTAAGTGGGCTTGAGCAGAAGATGTCGCTAGAAGGGATGATGGCGGGTGGTCGAGAATAGAGACGGACTGGTAGCCAAAGGAGTTACCATTCCTAAGAGGACATCTCCCGCGGAGATGGAGCGACTAAATTGGCTCAAGTTTGGATGCTATAGGTAGATTGTCACATCACAAGATCGTGATCGATGGGTGACGGCTTGCGGAAGCTTGCATCCAGCAGTAGATGCATCATTGCTGATAATGATTGTATAATCACGCTCCCGATTGCCTACCACCACCACCCTCTAATACCACCACCTTCACTCCGAATTGACAGCCAAACTTTGCACCCCCCTCCGTGTCCCCACAGCGGCCGAGATGATGAGCGACGTCATCGCCGTGTCGGAGGAGGTCGCTTACGAGCACTGCGACGATGACGACGAAGACCACGTCAACGATGAGGACAACATCGACAACATCAACAACAACGGCAGCGGCAACAGCAGAGCAGATATCGGCCGGACGGTTTTCGTCGAATCCTCCGAACCGGAGGCTCACGATCGCTTCACTCCTCCGCCACTACCCCAGCATCGACTGCACCACGATCACCACCACGAGCATCGCCACGATCATCACCACGAGCACCACCACGAGCACCAGCAGGAGCAGCAGCAGGAGCAGCTGCAGGCAGTGTCGGAGCAATCGGAGGCGGCAGCGGTGGGGGGGGCGGCTTCGGCGACCCAGGTGTTCGTGGTGGACGAAGCGCCGGTGCCCCGGGAGCTGGAGGTGCGCGAGTCGAGCGAGAGCGGCGCGGGGCTGCGCGTGTGGGCGCGCGGGGGCATCGCGTCGGGCAAGCGCTACGGGCCGTACCCGCCCCACGCTGCCCGGACCCAGCACCTGGACGACCTCCGCCGCTGCTGGGAGGTGAGCACGGACGGCGTGAGTGGTGCGAGCGGTGGCTGCGGCGTTCGAGGCCGAACCCTCGCGTGTCGTTTATCGTGGATGTACCGACGTTTTAGAGTGCCACGTGCTTGGAAGATTCCTGAGTTCCGCGACGTTTTGCACGTTAGGCTGATCAACCGGCGGCTTAGCCTGAGAACGTATCGGAGGGTACTTGTGATCATGTTTTGATGGTTGACGCGCTTTACCAATGAGCCAGCCAAATGGGTTCGTCTCTTCCAAATCTACCTTGGCTGTGGTGCATCATGAAGGTATGGAAATAATTTAAAAGCCTACTGCTACATCAGTTTTTTTTTTCCCAGCTCTTTTGTGCCGTTCTCTGTTGTGTGTTTCCGGTTGTGCCGCGCGTTGTGTTCTGCACGATGTCCGACGCTTCTCTCCACGTGCCTGCGAGATTCTTTACGAACCAATTTGAGCTGCTCACTTTCTTGCCTATCGGGAGTCAAGACCCGGAAATGCCAGCGGCAGCCGGTAGCGCCGTAGAGTCGTGGTGATAACATGAGCTGCTCTGTGCAGTTCCTGAAGAAGCTCCCCCAGCACGTGGAGCGAAACGTCGGACGTACTGCCGAACGACGCACGGTACGACACGAGCAGCGTGATCTTCCTGGCAACCATCCATCGTTTTCCTTGTCTTCTTGTTCTCATCATTTTATAAGCACAATATTTTTTAGAGTGAATATTGATACGAGGTGGCTGTGTGGCCTGGAGAGCACAGAGCTGACAAACACCACCTTAGGTCCTGGGATTTGAGTCTGGGTTGTGGCCACCCGTGTGTTTACACTGAGGTGTGAATCATCATGAGGTGATGGTCTGAGCCCTGTCATTAAATCACCTCCGATTTAGCGCGGTTTCGTCTACATACTGTGCAAAAGAAGTCCCACAGGTAAGGCCCACTGAGCGATCTAGCTCTTTTTCAGAAGCGACCTGGCCACAAATGATATCTCAACGAAGTGGCTTATCATCACGTGGACGTTTATAGCAGCAGCCAAATACTGTAAATCTAATTTTGCCGAGGTCCCAGCGAACCAGAACTTGCTGTCGCTTTCTAACTAGCTTCACCTGACCCCTGAATCTCCGAGTCCCCCTCAGGTGTTCACTAACATTATGTTACACGTCCATCGCAACATTTGCTTTGAGTTTGAGTCATTCACCTCCTCACGCCTCGACGGGAACAGCCAAGAGGAAGGAGGGGGGGGGCGGCCCGAGATGAGAGATGTTTCACGCTGCCATGGCCGCCATGGCCGCCCGTTCACGTGATTTCCTAAAACAATGAAAGAGAAGGCGACAAAAGGGAGACGACAGGTGCCATTGTCCGCGCAGCGTGTGGGCGTCGTGAGAGCGGTGTCCGCCCGCTTCCGAGAATGTGTTTCAATTTCAAAAACAAGGTGGCATGAGAAAGAGAGACAGAAGCAGGTGATGTTGTGGTGCCACGGACAATGTCCCTTTGCGAAGTCTCCAGTCACTGTAAAAGATGACGCATCCTTCCCCTCTGTGGTCGTGCAGAAATGGTGTTGAAATGATAGTGCACGGTTTTCAAAGGTGCAACAGCATCAACAACGTAAAAAGAAACAATGCAAACGTTTATCGTCACCACCTTCCTTTGCACTGCAACAAAAAGAGTGTTAAAAAGGGAAGGCCTCACTCAGATGGGATTATCACCTTACGGGTGCGGCTATCTTGTATGTTTTTCTTTTTTATCAAACCCACAAATGTGAGTGGCCTAACATGGGTCCAAAGAGCCTACACTAGGCCCAACACAATTTGACACGTGGAGACAGACCCCTTTTATAACCCACAGCATTAACCACCGTTGTGCAAACTGATTCCTTTATTCAAGGTCTGGCAGACCTCTCTTTGAAAACAAGTGGCCTGGACTCTGTCCGTGAGATCTACACGGCCAAATCCGGTTCAGATGAAGTGTGACCACTTCAAGAAAATGCTGCTGTTAAACACTGGTCTGGAAGAAGCTTAACCTGCATGATCAACTGAAAGAAAATACAGGAATTTGTATGAAGAAAATTTGAAGTATATTAGTTAGTTGGGCCCTGATGGCAATACGCTCGACTCGCACAGAGCCCCCCTCAGCTCTGATTAGGATTTTAGCCACCCTGAATTGTCCCATGAACGTTCTCTCATCCAAGTAAATCGGTCCTTGTGAATCTACAACTCTCCACGGGGACATTAAAACTCCCCGGTATTTTTTTTCGTATCAGTTGCGCAATGGAGACAGCGCACGCCGCACACGTGACTCTCAACTCTTCCCAGTGTTGCGAGATGCTCTCTGCTCCTCATGCCATGGATACGCTCCCAGCTTTTGTGTACCTCAGTGCTGACAGCCCTAATCCTCGATGTGGCCTTGCCAATAGTGTGCCTGTGGTGGCAGGGACCGGTAAGTCGCTGGTACTTGGGGTCGTAATTACGGGGTGGGGGGCTGAGCTGGGTTTGGTTGCGGGGGGAGGATGGGAATGGGGGGGGTTGTTGAGATTTGGTGGGGGGAGGGGGACAGCTGCTCCTGATATGAGCTTCCGCACGGTGCTCATGGCCCCGTGTGACCTCGAGGCTTTAATTATGAGGCTGTCAAAATAAACAGAGGGTGACCCCGGGCCATTGGCAGGCCTCAGCTGCCAGACGTCTGCGCTGCCCAGACGCAGCAAATTCCTCTCCAAATTGCATGATTTGCTCGTCTGCGAAACAGCGCGTCTATGCCTTTCTCTCTCTCTCTCTCGCTTTTTTTGTTTCTACTCATTTAATTATGCAATCACACGATCGCTTGCGTGCACACGCTCGTGGGGATCTCAGAAGTTTTTGAGAGGTAAATGGTGTCCGTTTTATTTATATTAAGAGAAAATAACCTTAATTACGTCGTAAAAATTTGCTTCAGGTTCTTAAATCGGCACTCCAGTTCATACATTGTTGGTTCGGATCCTCTGTGGGCTAAGAGTGGCGATAATTGATAGCCAAGGACATGTCGGTATTTTCTCTCGACACACAGTGGTTCTGCTAGATCGTCTGTAGGGGATACAGTGTTGCCCCCTCGCATGCGTGTGACTTTTCTCCGGGCACTCAGGTTTCAACCCCGCACGTACACTATCATTAATTGGCTGAAAACATCTTTAGATATAGATGACCGCAGAGCTTGGGCAATTGTTAACGGCGGCTCAGCCGAGCGGCTTCTGCTGTGCTTCACCGCTTGTCATTGTGGTTCCTTCCTCGCGCCTACCCGAGTCCGTTCCGTCTCGAGCGAGCGAGCGAGCGAAACGCTGCGCGGAGCCGCGCTCCAAAGGCAAACTTATCTATGGCTTGTTTTTTGTGGCTGCTCGCTGTTGGTGGGGGGAGAAACTTGGCGATATTAAATACATAATAAGGCCGCAGCGTTGAGGCCACGCCACACAGCACCCAGGGCCGTGGTAACGTAATTCCGCACTCACTTCGGTTTATTTTTTGTTGCCCTTATCTGGTTTGAATGCAATCGGGAGCTGAAATCAGTCCCCCCAATTGAGGCTAAAGAATCAAAAGAGAATGAAGATGGAGAGCAAGGTTTGATCGTATCGTCGGCTGCGTTTTATTATCATGATCTCTCCGCTAAAATTCATTAATTAAGTGTGGAAAGTCCACGGGGGGTGGGGAGGTAAGCAAAAAGAAAGTTCCCACAAAGCTGGGACAACACTGACAAGCTGTCAGGGTTGTCCTTTATTAATCCGGCGCAAAGTATTTCCTTAATTTATTTTGGAGAGGGCCCCAGTCGTCGGAGGAGGAAGAAAGCGTCCCTTTGTAAACCCGGAGTGGATCGAGATTTCTCGCCGTTGGGGCCCGCCCGGTTTTCCGGCAGCTGTGACGGACGCCGCGAGTTTGAGTGAATTTCTCGGGACCCACTTGAGCCTGGAAATTGGCGTGTAGAGGAGGAGGAAAAACCCCTGCCCACCCTCCACAAGGATGAGGAATGTCATCGCGTGGGCCCAATCGTCCCAAATAGCGGGGTCACGTTGGAACTCTCGACGTGTTTGAGGAACGAAGCTTGCTGGTGAGATTGCTGCTTTAAGCCTACACGATTCATCTACACGTGGTTAATTCACGTATGTATGTCTGTCTGTTGAACTTCTTTTGCACCGTACGCAGCCAACCGCATTGACGAGATGTTTACTACTTCATCTGCTATGCAGGAGGGTCGTGGGTTCAATCCCGTCCGTGATGCTTGCTGTATATTTGGAGTCGGCGTGTCTCTCTCCCTATCATTATGTGATAGCCAGGTGGCTTCTGAAAATTAGCTCAGTGGGCCTTACATGCTAAAATAAACGTAAGTTTAGTTTTTAGTTCAGTTTAACCGTGCGAGTTAAATTCTTCTTTTGCCAGCGGTCGACGCGATCGCGTGTGTTATCGCCGCTGCTCCTCGCAGAGGCTTGCGGTTGTAATCCGGCAGGCTGCCCCCCGGTCAATGCTGCCGTTGTGTTCAGCATAAAGTAAAGATGCCTGGGTAGGCGGTTGCGCGAAGAAGGTCGGGCCGTTGTGTGCTACCGTCATGGTCCAATTTAGAAGAATTGTTCTGAATTGACTCTATTGGCAAACAGAGGAATCGTCACGCCCGCTGCTGTCGCCCCGTGAAAACTTGGCGCAGGGCCCTCTCGAAAAGGATCGTTGAGGCGCCAGGCTCTCCTGCATAAACAAGCGTAATAGTTACGGAAGGCGAATGCCCAAAATCTATTTACTGACGAGTAATAACGAGAATGGCTCTATACGCAGAGGAAGTCGACGTTGAATGTGGAATTCCCGTTGAATCCGACAGGATTACTTTGGGATTCCTGCAGGATCTGTTTTGGTCTCTTATGAGATCCCACAGGAATATTAGGTTCTCGTTTTAACAAACAGGATGTCCTTCTCGCAATTGACTTAATTTATTAACCCCTGACCCTCAGCTGACACCACCGTATATCCGTATACTGGCCAAACTCCTCAAGTACAACGAATGC